AGCAGCAATCCCAAGGGAATGGACGGTGACCCTTGCAGCAGGGGCATCGGAGGTACTTCAGGGTTCGTGGTGGCGGGACCCAGCCTCCCCGGAGCTCCTTTATCAGGTACTAAAGAAGGTCCACATCGGGGCATCAGAAGTCGCTACATGGAAATACAAAGAGACGACCCTCCGCCACATCGACCCCCCAACCCAAACCGCAGACCTAACGCACTGCTTTGAAGTCAAGGTTAAGACAGAAATTGGCAAGAATGGCACTTCCAGTCGCAAACCAGCAAGAGAAGGCTCCCCCTTCAATAGCAGGAAGGTTGACGAACTGAGGCTGGGCTGGATTGCAGATTCCTCTGCGGTATCAGCAGTCCTACTTCCAGACTACTCCTCACAGATGGGTTACAACTGCAATCCAAGGCTTCGACTCTGCAGATCAGAGTGTGGGAATCATGGAACAGACAATCCAGGAATCTTAACCTGAGGGCCCCAGGGCTTAGCTGGGTCCTTTTTTTTTTCATTTATGAGACATTGGAGACTCTAGAAGTCAAGCTGGCGGGTCTACAGTTGCTCCACCTGCACAGCAGTGTACCTACAGCAGCATGGTGTGCGGAAAGAGGAATGGAAATACTAACGGCATGTGATGTCTGCCCACACCAGTCCCTAGAGGACTCCTCCCACTTGTGGTGGGAATGTGTGGTCACCAGAGGATTCTGGGACTGGGTAAGAAGGCTATGGTTCGCAACCTATAAGGCTATCAGGACTATTCATACTGGACGAAGTCGTTGGTTCTATTTGGGGATCAGTCTAATTCTCCCAGAGGCTAGCTTTCCCAGGGCGGCCGGCCGGGCGCCCCGGGCACTCCGCCCGGGTAGGGACCACGCCCGGGGTACCCCAGGCACGCTAAAAAACCACTGAGTTTTTTTTTTTTTTTTTTTTTTTTTCGCTGCCGGACCTTGCTGCGCCTTGGGAGTAGGGCCCAAATCCGACCTCTTTTTTTATTTTCATGCATCTTGAATTCTGTGTTGGGGGGGGGAGGAGAGCGTGCAGGAGGGGGCTGTATTATGGACTGTCCATTTACAGGGTGGGGGATGCATCAGCTGCTGTGCCCCACCTGTGCTGGAGTGCCACGTCAGAGGGAGGAGGGAGGACGAAGGAGCGCCAAGTCAGAGGGAGAAGGGAGAAGCGCCACGKCAGAGGAGGAAGAGAGGACGGATGAGCGCCACGTCAGAGGAGTGAGGGAGGAGGGAGAAGGGAGGAAGGAGGGGGCGAGGTGATGGAGGGGGCATGAGGAGGGAGGAGCGCCACATCAGAGGAAGGAGGAGGGAGGCGAAGAAAAAGAAGAAGAAAAAGAAGAAGAAAAAKAAGAAGAAAAAGAAGAAGAAAAAGAAGAGAAACAGAAAGAGAAAAAACAGAAGAAAGAAGAAGAAGAAGAAGAAACGAAGGAGAAGCCCAGGATTAAATTTTGTATCTTGGATCAGTGCGCGCCGTTGATTGATGGAGATCGACGGCCAAAATCCAAGGAAAAAAGAAAACCTACAAAACAGGGCGTACCGGACCCCCCAAAAAAATACGCTGACCGCCAAAGTGGAAGTTGGCATGTTCGGAATAGGGTGGCAGCGCGAAAAAAAAATTGGAGGCTTTTTCTGCCCTGGTGCGATAGGTGCCCGGGTGCCTGCTCGGGGGGGTCGCCCGGCCGGGCGCCCCGGGCGCCATTCCGGGCATGGCGGGGTACCCCGGGCGCCCGGGCTGGAAAGCTAGCCCAGAGGTAAAACTGCTAACAAATATAGGATTATCAGCTTTTGGGTCTTATGGGTAGCCTGCAGAGACCGGAGATTTAATAGCTCTTACTGGGCAGTTTCTCGCCTTCGTAACTCATTCAAGAGCGCAGTTAGAACCTTGATTCTGGCAGAATGGAGAAAGGTGAGTCTTCTTTCTCCTTTACCTTCCGGTAACACAGAGGTCCATGGTCGGTTCCTGGGCCTCTGAGTTCCAGTGGATTCATTTCTCAGATAACAAGCAGCTAGTCTTTTCCCATCACTTATGGGACGAAGAGGATCATATCCTCACTCAGGACCCTGAAGCTTTATTCTTGTGATTGAATGTCCTGTTGGCCTTAATCAGCCCAATGTAAGGGACGCTGGACCCGGTTTCCAGCAGGTGCAGCTCCCCACCAACGGAATGGAGTAATCTAAGGGAGGATTCCCAGACAGGGAGATGTTCTTATCACTTCCTGGCTGAGGACCGACCGTCCGGATTAACAACAAAAAAAAAAGAACACATTGACGGCATATGGCCTGGCTCCACTACTCTCGAAATGCGCAAAACAAGAGTGAATCTTCCGCTGGAACATTGAAAGGTATGAAACGGTATTCACCAGTTCGCAGTAGCAAATGCAGATCCCAGGGCTCGATCCCTAGTTCCCCACCTTACCTGTGTACAGTATTGATGACAACCCGTAGATTTGAACCTGCGACCTGTCGAAACGCCAGTGGTAGGTAGGTTGTCGTAGGTCACAGCTTAGAAGGGAATCGAACTGTAGACCTGTAGGGTAGGAGTCTAGACAGTTCCGAAGTCGTAGCTGTAGGATGTCTGAAGGGTCAAGGTCGTAGCTGCTACTTACCTGAAAGGGCAAAGTCGTAGCTGCTACAGTACCGAAAGGCCAAAGTAGAAGTTTCTAGAACTGGCCTTTCGGAGTCAGCCCCTGTTTAGGCCGACGCAAGTGGGCAAGTGGTGTAGGTCCACTACGTAGAGTCARCAGTCCCAGGTAGCCCAGTCCGGTCCARTCAAGCAAGTACYGTCTGGGACTGTGCACATCGTGGGCCAAGGGATACAGGGCAGACCAACGCCGCACAGAAGTATAAATCAAGAGGCTGCGTCCAGCCATTCATTTCATTCCTGCGGATKCCATGCGGAAGCGCTGCCTCAGCAKCTTGTGCGAGGAGGTCTGCAGTGCGCCCGAAGACGAAGAGGGCAGTGAAGTGTAGTGTAGCGATAGGATAGTGGCAGCCATAGCTGCCATAGCTATAGTAGCGTGTGTGTGTGTGTGTGTTGCGTGTAGAGTGTTGCGTGTGGGACATCCAGGGTGATCCAAGGTGCGAACAGTGAGTTGTGTGGGCGCTCAGTCGCCATAGCCAGTTTGAAGGGAACTCCTACCTGGTTACGATATCTTTGAGTACTGTGTGGGCGCATGTCGCCAGTTTGCTGTTTCGCTGTTTGCATGCATGACAAGTGTGAAGAAGT